AAAAAGACAAAAAGGAAAAAAAAAAAAGAAGTAACTAACTTTGGGAGCACTGTGGGAACAGGGCCAAGGAGAGCTGATGGTTCTCTTGGTGATCTGTAACTGGCCTCAGCCAAGTCTTTGGTCCTTATGTGAAGCTGTTGGAATTTATTGGTGTTTAGGGCTCTAGTGAAACATACCTTGAGGGATGTGTGTGTTTCTGTCTCCCATCTTTCTACTGTTAAGGCTAGTTAGCTGCTCTTCCACTGATACCGTTGACTGTCAGAGAGATTTGGAAGCTAGGCATTTCCAGTTTAGGGTTAGACTCATGGTTAGTGTTGGAACCTTCCTTCTGATTAAAGTACATTCTTATTCTATTCTGCCTTTCTCTGTTTACATTCCAAGTTTCCATACTGTTTTTCTCAATATTGATAACACTTTGAGGTCTAACTTTATATATACTAAAGTGTAGACATTTCAAATATTTATTTTGATGAATTTTTACATATGTGCATACCTATGTAAGCTGCACACAGATGAGAATATGTAATATTTTCTTGTTCCCCTCACAGTCAGTAGTCCTAAGGATAAGCACTATTTTGAACTTCATAAAAAGGGAGTTATCAGACTCTTTTGTGTTTGATTTCTTGCATTTAACATTTTAGTATAACTCATCCATGTTGTTGAGTAAAGAATTCTGTTGTATAAATTATTCACCCATTTGACTGTTTATGGACATTTGGGTTTCCAGTTTGGGGTTGCTATTACAAGTAATAATGCAAGGTACATTCTTATGAATGTCTTTTAGTGGACATAAGCACTCATTTCTCTTGGGTATGTCTGTTGTATAAATTATTCACCCATTTGACTGTTTATGGACATTTGGGTTTCCAGTTTGGGGCTGCTATTACAAGTAATAATGCAAGGTACATTCTTATGAATGTCTTTTAGTGGACATAAGCACTCATTTCTCTTGGGTATATAATCAAGAGCAGGATTGCTTAGTTATAGAATATGCATACATTTTCTTTTAGTAGGAACTGCCAAATGTATGTAATCAAGAGCAGGATTGCTTAGTTATAGAATATGCATACATTTTCTTTTAGTAGGAACTGCCAAATATTTTTCCTAACTGGTTGTACCAGTTAACATTCCTAAGTTCCTATGCTTTCAGAGTATAGTTTTCTTCTGTAATATTTTTACCACCGGTTGGTGATGCTAGTTAGAGAGAGATGTTGAGATATTTGCCAGCCCATCTCTGATTACACACACACACACACACATTCATATTTCACATTCATTCAATATGGATTCACAGGCGGAAATTTGTCTTGTCATATGCTTGGAGGTTTAATAGTTTCCTTTTAATTCCTAAGGGGAATTTTTCACTATCTGTTAGTTTTTAAAAATCTAATATTAATCTCAATAAAGTTTAACTATTGAATAGATGTCTAGTTTTATGGCTTAGGAGTAGGCATGAATCTCAACTGTCTAAGTGTGGTATTTAACTTATAGAGTGAAACGAGAAGGGTGAATTGACTCAGGGAAGGTCCCTTGGATCCTGCCTCTGGCATTGTTCATTTGCAACAGGCTGAATTGCATTTTATGGCTGCTATTTTTTCTCATTTGTCCTTGATTCCTTTGAGAGGGAGCAGTAACTCAGTATATTAAACACTGCTTAGAATTCTCAGCCATGAGCATTTTAATTCTATCAAATGTGTATGAGCATATGATTGAAAGAGAATGGAAATTTAGGGCTTTAGTTTCTTAGTTCACACAGTGGTTAGTCAAGTAACCTACCTGTATGGGCTGGAGGTCAGTATAATATTCTTGTTATAAGAAAAAGAATTGTCAAAGTATGGAATTCTTAGAATCAATCTAAAGAAGGCTATTAGGCTTGGTTTTCAAATAACAGAGTTCTCTTCCCTTTTGGACAAAGCTACCTTAGTCTATTCACTCATTCATTATCACTCATTGAGCAAATACTTAATGAATGCTACATGCCAGACCCTGTTGTAAATGCTAATTCATAAAGGAGAGAACAAAGCAAAGGCCTAGCTGTTATGGAGCTTACCTTCTCAGGGAGTAAGAAACAAGAAAATATATGTATATATGTCATGTGGTACTGTGGAAGAAAATAAAAAACAAAATAAGGGAATGGGAATGTAGTCTTGGTGTTGGGAACTGCTGTTGCTTTTTATAAGAGAAGGTCAAGGAAAGCCTCTCAGGCAGTTGATATTTGTGCAGGGACCTAGAGGGATTGCGCAGTATGGATACCCACTGGAGGAAGAGTTAACCCAAGTGGAGGGGAACGCATGTCTGGTGGGTTAAAGCAAGATCTCTGCAGTTGGAGGGGAGGGAGTGAGGGGGAGAATAGCTGGAAGTGAGGTCAGAGGGATGGCAGGGACTCGGATCAGATAGGGCTGTACAGGCCATTGTAATGAGCTTGGCTTTTTCTCTGAGTGGGAATCTACTGAAAGATTTTGAACAAAGAAGTGATTCAAATTTTTTTTCAGGATTACCTTGAATATTGGGTCAAGAATTGTAGGGACAAGGGAAGAAACAGGGAAACCAGCTAAGATCTCTAATAGTTGTGTTCAGACAAGAGCCAAATGGCATAGATGTTTTATTTTCTGAAATTATCAACATCACTGTGCTTTATTAGTAAAGGTAATAACTGTGTTTATGCAGACATAGATGAACAATGTCTGGCACATTTGAGTCACCTTAGGAATGACTTAGTAATATGCAAGTTAACAATAATATGCTATGGATATTGTAAGTTCTGTATTTAACGTTTTTTCCTATTTATCTAAGATTAATTTTTTCTGGACACTCTTCCTCCTCTCTCCCCTATTTCTACTAATGTTGTACCATTCTTTAAGCCATTCGCACTTGAATTTCAGTTGTTTGTGACTCTCTCTCTTCATTCACTGCACATCCAGGCAGTCAGGTTCTGTTGTTGCCTTGCTGTCTCCCAAATCCATCTCCTCCTTCTGCTATTCCCAACTTCAGCTTTAGACCCTCCTTTCGACTCGGTAACTATCAAATTATTCTTCTCTAATCCTTGTGAAATTCCGCAAAGGAATACAGGGTTTTGAAGTGAGACTTCAATTCAGATTGGTTCAGATCTTTGTTCTTCTATGTACTGGCTTTAGAGCCTTTTGCAGTTTTGAACCTCAGTTGTGCCCAACCTAATATATAAGATTGCAGTGAGGATTAAATGGGACTATGGAGTTTTAAAGTGCCTGGCAGGGAACAGGCACTTAGAAAATGTTGGTTTTCTCCCCCCCACCTTCAGAACTCTTCATTTCCACACCTAAGTGTGCTCCTTCCCTATCTCAATAAATAACAACTATCTATCCAGTTTAAGTAAAAAATCTGAGCCCTCTTTGAATAATCTATTTTTTTCACCATCTAAATGTAACCCATCTGCAAATACTATTGATTCTACTTCCAAAACATATCCAGAATCCATCTACTTCTCCCCTTGACCCTGCTACACCCTAGTCCAGTAATCTCTTGTCTGTACTGTTGCCATAGGTTCCTAATCCATCTTTCTGCCTCCACTCTTGCCGTCTTTCAGCCTATTTTTCACAGACCCAAAGTGATATTTAAAACATGAATCAGATAATATCCCTCTCCTGCTTAACACTCCCTAGTGACTTTTCATCATACTTAGAGTGAGATCCAACTCCTTCCCCTTCTCCTATCACTCTCCCCCTATGCTTCAGCTGCACTGCCCTTTTTTCTTTTCCTGCTAACTCATGAAACTCAGGACTGCCTTGGGCCTTAGCACTTGTTGTTCTCTCTGCTTGGAATACTCATCCCCCAGATGTCCAGACTTGCTACTTTTTGCCATTTAGATCTCAGCTTTATCTAAAAGTCCCCTGCCTTCTCTCAGTAATGCTCTATTACACTGTCCTATTTTATTTGTTCCTAAGGCTTACCACTATCTGACAACAGTCTATTTATTCATTTATCATCTCTTCCTCCCTGCCCACCCTGCCCCACAAATGTCCTCAGAATAGGGCCTATTTCCTAGCACAGTGCCTGCTACATAGTAGGTATGCAGGAAAAACAAAAACAAAAAACCTTGACTGGATAAATAGATGTAAACCCACTTTTAATGAGATATCAAAGTTTTATATTAATGACATGAGCCAAGAACGGTGTTTTTATTTTTAAAACGTGAGACCTGTTGGTTTTCCTTTCATTTAATCCCTAATACTGAATGAACACTAAGCACATATGCTTATGCAGGATATGTGACTGTAACAGAAACAACAGTAATATAATCACGTTTTTTAGTAATATAATCACTAATCTTCTAAATAGTTCTCAAATTTACTATCTTCTCCATCTCCTGTCCCACACTACCTCTTTAGTGCAAATCACCATGCTCTCTGGCCTTTTTCCTGTAGGTTCTCATCTCTCAATAGAATCTATTCTCCAGACTGCAGCCACTGAAAAGCCCAGTAAACACCTCTGGAGTTTTCATTGTTCTCAAGATAAAGGCCAGAACCTGCTCTCCTCCCCCCTCACAGCAGGCCAGCCCTCGCTCTCCGCTCCCGGCCACACTGCCTCTACCCTCCCGAGCCCTCCCTGCTGCCTGGCTGAGGAGCCCTAGCTGGCTTCCCGCTTCGTGAAGGTTCTATACCGCACCCATTTCGCCTGCTTCTTTGGATTTCAGGGAACTGTCCCCCCTCTGGGAAGCCCTCCCTGATTAGGCCAAGCCCTGCTCGCCATCATACAGCCCCACGTCACCAAGGGCCTCTCTTTAAGAGCTCGTACTTGTTTTAGAATTATACATGCCTGAGTACGATAACCTTATTACCGTATGTGAACGCCAGCTTGCGCCCAACAGATACTGGTGGAAGGAATGTACTGACTTGCCGACCAACCGCTCCTCGCTCCTCCCCTTACGCCTATGGCGCAGCTGTTACGCATTAAGCAGGCGCCGCGAGAACAGACGTCGCCGGGCGCCTGCGCGAAAGAGCGCGCAAGCGCAGCGGGGTGAACCCGCTGACAGATTCGCGGCGGCGGCGGCGGCGGCGGCAGCCCGGGACTGTGGGGAATGGGAGTCCTAGGGCCCTGACTGAACACCGCCCCCGCCTCCCTGCCCCCGACATGGCTCAGGAGAAGATGGAGCTAGACCTGGAGCTGCCTCCGGGAACGGGCGGGAGCCCGTCGGAGGGTGGCGGCACCGGAGGCGGCGGGGGCCTCAGGAGGTCTAACAGCGCCCCCCTGATCCACGGCCTCAGTGACACTTCGCCGGTGTTCCAGGCCGAGGCTCCGAGCGCGAGGCGGAACAGCACAACGTTCCCGAGTCGCCACGGCCTGCTGCTGCCGGCCTCCCCTGTCCGCATGCACAGCAGCCGCTTGCACCAGATCAAACAGGAGGAGGGCATGGACTTGATCAACCGAGAGACGGTCCACGAGCGCGAGGTGCAGACCGCAATGCAGATAAGCCACTCCTGGGAGGAAAGTTTCAGCCTGAGTGACAATGATGTGGAGAAATCCGCCTCCCCAAAGCGCATCGATTTCATTCCAGTGTCACCAGCACCGTCACCCACCCGGGGAATTGGGAAGCAGTGTTTTTCACCATCCTTGCAAAGTTTTGTGAGTAGCAATGGATTGCCTCCAAGCCCTATCCCCAGCCCGACGACCCGATTTACTACTCGGAGAAGCCAGAGTCCCATCAATTGCATCAGACCAAGTGTTCTTGGACCATTGAAAAGAAAATGTGAAATGGAAACTGATTATCAGCCAAAGAGATTTTTCCAGGGCATCACCAACATGCTTTCTTCTGACGTTACACAGCTGTCAGATCCCGGTGTGTGTGTATCTTCGGATACCCTTGATGGAAACAGCAGCAGTGCCGGATCTTCTTGTAACTCACCAGCGAAAGTCAGCACTACCACCGACTCTCCTGTATCACCTGCCCAGGCGGTCTCCCCATTTATTCCAGTAGATGAACTTTCATCTAAGTGATTCACCCATTTTGAAGCTTTGTTTTTTCGCAATGGAGAGAAAGAAAAATGGAGTTGGAGCAAGCACTGAACTTTTCGATTAATTTGAGGCTATTTCTTATTTGACCCTTTTCCTTTTTGGAATCTCCTGAAATGTTGTTATTCTAGAGAACTTCTATGTCAGGTTCCTGCCCTTGAATTCAGTGTAGTAATATTTTCAGACGTTTTCCCAATAAGTGTGTTGAAGCATACATCTTTACGCTGCTAATATGTCTAAATACATGTTATCCCTTGATTTTTTTTTAAATAATTGAGAGCTCTATTTATTTATGGGGTTATTAAGTTCTGATGAAAATACAAATGTTGAATTAATCAGCATAGTAAACTGATGTTTTAAAATTCCATACTTCATGACCACACTAATTTTAATGTTATTTTCAGTGATTGCTAATTTTCATTTGATGAACAATCATTTACCTACTTACAGCTTTTTAAAAAATATGTTAGTGATAAATATCAATCCAGTGGTTGTCTGTTTCACCGAGGAATCATTGAGTATTTAATTTTCTGGGTACAGAAGTGGATGGGAGGGGAATGATAAAAGAACAAATTTTAAAAGTTTGCAACAAATCTTTTGAAATTAAGCATATAAAAGTAAATATTTAAGTAAAGTGTTTTCTAATGAAATTTTAATAGTAATTTTAGTAAGTCATACAAATATAACTACAGAAAATGTAAATTTTCTTTTTTCTTTTTTTTTTTTAACTAGATAGTTCATTCTCTTGGGTATAATCCCAAAGTGAAATGGGACAGTGCCTTGCAGTCTTAGCCTACTGTAGATAGGCTGAGGCTAGGCTGTTGTACTACTGCAAACTTAAAAGTTTTTCAAATGTAGAAAATGTGTGGGAAGCCCTGTTGAACCTCAGCAGAGCACCTAGGCAGACAATAATCTCTCAATCGTTGATATATTTTAAAGTATCCAGTCATGCCTCAGTTTTGAAGATTCTTGCCAATGAGAAGCCAGAGCAATTTTTGGCTGCCTTTCTGTTCTGCCCATCTGTCACCTTCCTGGTTTTCCCTTGCTCTGGAAGGAAGCAGCTGTTTCCTTGCCAACAGGTCCTTCCTCTCCACCTCCCACCAAACTAGGGCACTGTCGGTTAGACAAAGGTACAGTGTGACTTGGATTTCTGACAGTGAGCAACAACAGGACTGAATTATTTAACCTTTGTGGTTAAAGCTACAGCTGGAGTTGACTGCCTTGGGGATGTTGGTTATTTAAGGGTCGATGATTTGCAAGAGAAAATCAGTGGAGAGTCACATAGGTAAATCATTATTTAACTTAGGTTTTGCTAAAGGTAGAATTGTAGAATGTTCTTTGCCTTTTACAATTAAGACAAAATACTTAATAAGAACAGCAAATGTTTTTTATATTATACTTCCTTATAATACCTCGTATATCTTCATTAACTAAATAGATAGATAGATAGAATGGCAGACAAAAAGGGGAAGGGAAAAGAAAGACTCAAAGACCAGGACGAAAGCCCTGACTTATTTTTTTAAGTTACTGCCTACAGATACTTTAACAATTATGTGGAATTTTTACAACTATGAGAATAAATGGAACCAGTCAACTCTTGACAGTTGCCTCAAGGTTCAGTGAAATTTCATCAAGGGTAAGATTGTGTCCACAGGTTTAAAATTCTCTATTCTGGATAATAGTGTTCATATGCTCCTGTGCTGTCCTTGTCCCTCAAATTCAAACCTATGTATGCAACTTCCTATCGGGTACCTTGACTTCTGAAGGTACTTTAACTTCAGCATCTTCAAAACAAAATTTATTGTCTTCTCACTTCACCTATTCTTGCATTACCCTAAATTGATATCACCACTATCTAGTTTCCTAAACTAGAAACTATGGAAGCATCTTTGACTTTCTCTTTTCCCTATCTGTCACATCCATCTCATTTACCAAGTCCTGTCAACTTTGCTTCTGAAATGAACCTCAAATCTCTCCTCTGTCTCTATTGCCCCTGAATTAGCTTAAGTTCTTGCTTAAGTGATCTCCCAGCCTTCTTTACCTCCCCTTTGGTCCAATCTTCACACTGCCTCTAGAGTGACCTTTCTAAATATAAACTTGTTTTTTGTTTTTTCTTTCACTCTCCTGCTTGAAAACTTTATATACTTTCCCATTTCCTACAGTTTAGGGTATGCCTTCATGATCTGGCCATATTCTAAAATAGCTTCAACCCTCTCCTCATCCCTGTCCCATTACACATCCTTCCTTTTTACTCTGCAAACACTAGACTACTTGATATTCTTTAAATAATGTCATTTCCTGTGTCCATGCTTTTGCGTAGACTGATCCTTCTCCCTGAAATGCCATTCTTATCCTTTTCAGCTGGGCAACTGCTTTTTTTCTTTTTATTACATCTGAATTTAACTAGGAAAGCAATGTATACCTGCTGACTATAAAATATATTTAAAGAATGTAGGTATTTATATCATAAAAATGAGTCCACAGGTTTAAAATTCTGACTTTTACTATGTAAAACTCTTTCCCTCTTACAATTTGGTATATATTTTACAAAATGTGTTACTTTGCATTTCCATGTATATAAAAAAAATGTAGGAAATCAAAATGTCATTGACACTTCTTTTCTTTCCTCCATATCTAATCATTCACTAAGTCTTATTGATTTTATCTTCCTGAATCTATCTCCTTATTTCCATCTCTGCTGCCACCCTGATCCAGGCTACTGTAATTTCTCTCTTAGGCTTCTGAAGCAGCCTCCTAACTCCCACTTGTGCCTGTCACACTTTCTCTGGTCAACTACTCATTCATTCTCCATACAGCAACTAGATTCATCCTTTTAACTGCAGATATGGTCCTTCCATCTCCCAGCTTACAGCTTTTCATTTGCTTCTTTTTCTTAGGAGTATGCCAAAATGTATTAATTCTGGCCTAGGAGGCCCTGAGGGATCTGACCCTTGCTTCTTTCTCCCCTTGTTTTCTGTGTTCCATCCTCACTGGCTTGCTTTCTTCTTCTGAAATACATCGTGTTCTCTCCTGTTGTAGGTCCTTTTACCAGATCCTTTCCTCTGAAGGTATGGAAACCTTTATTTCTGAAAGGTTTCCATACCCTTATTTCTGAAAACTTATTCTTCTTTATAGATGGTAAATTTTAAATCTGATAAGGCTCTAAGAGTTTATATGGACAATTTACATTATCATAGTATTGTTCTTCATCATTACTCTAGAATTTAAGGGATTAGCTCATGTAAGAATTATCCTTCAAAAAACATTTTTTAAGGTGTTAGTGTTGCTAATCTATAAACTTTGTGCAAGAAGTTCTAAAGCAAATACCAACATTTAGTTGAAGTCCAGTTTGTCATGTATAATAAACCTCTGTGATCTATTTTTCTTTATTATGTTTGTTTAAAATACAGCGTAAATAGAAGAAAAAATTAATGGTCACCAAATCCAAGGCTGCTGTATGTCAGAACCTTTAAGCATACTTAAAAGGTTGATTGTAATCAAGAATAACCTGTATCAGGTTGCCTTCCAGTGATTCATATTTATTAGTTCAGCCAGTTACATACCTACAGCAAGAGACCACTCTGGAGATATTTGACAGTAAAATGGGGGAAGAGTCAATGCTTACAAGGGAAACAGGACTGAGAACTTTTTTCTTATGGGTATGTTTATAGATGAGTTGAAAAAGTTTAAAGATCCAAGAGAGGTGGGAGACAGGGGAATGGTTACCAGACAATGAACTGAGGAAGATGATGTAACCTACATTTCCTGGGTATAATCAGAGAATAGAAGAAAGAGTTGGCCTTAGGAAGGAGGTCTGGAAACTCCCCCCCCCCCTCCTTTCTGGAACAGGAAAGAATGAAAAGGCTAGACAAATATCAGTAAATGTTGAATTGACTTGCTGTTGCAGGGGTTTAGGAATACAGAGGACATTATATGGAAAGTAGAAAGAATTTGTATCTGTTTGATTCTATTTTCCAATTATTGAGGAGTCTAGGATATTTGAGGGTGGGGACAGTAGTGGATCTGGAAGTTTTAATGAAATAAAAGTTTGGTGTCTGTGAGAATCTATGTAAAGGAAGGTTTATTAGGCCACATTGACTGCCAGGTTGCAGTTGGATGGCAGGCACAAAGAAAGTGGTTGGATTGATTAGGTTTGGGAATTGGTTAAGTGGGTACTAGGTAAATACTTAATAAATGTTTGTTGAATAAATGGTAAGAGAAGCCAACGGAGAGTGATGGACTAGGCCATTTTTATCAAGGTCTTACCTTATAATCAGCCATGACAAAGTACAGAGAATCTGGTCTCACTGTAGGACTCTGACTGTAGCAGTTTTGCCCATATTTTTCATGGCTAATTTTGTGTAGAGAATCAGCCCTAAAGGCAAGCCTTGGATTCCACTTATTTGATAAAAACTTGGTTCAGATTGTGCCTTCCCTAACTTGCCACTCAAGTAAAGAATTTTATTAAAAGTTGAAATGATCTTTACATAAAAAATAGCAAAGTATTTGCTATGTGTCAGGCACTGTTCTAGGTGCTAAACAAAAGTATTAATGTAATTAATCTTTATCATTATCATCTAAGCTAAGTGTTATTGTTACCCTCATTTTATAAATGAGGACATGGAGACAGGGTAAGAAACTTGCCCAGGATTGCAGAGCTTGGGAGGTAGGCAGCCTGTTGTAGTGGTTAAGAACACAGACTGTGGAGCAGGTGGCTGTGGTGAGGATTAATTGGGTTGAAACTGTAAGTGTAAAATGCTTACAACAGTGCTGGACAGTTTCTGTTGAAGTGTCAACTATTATAACTATTATTATTATTGTGTCATTTTTATTGTCATCTAGCTTGTACTTGCTAAGGAATCTTTTCTTTATCGTTCTTGACTGATGAAACTCCTGCTTTCACACTCAGTAACAGTACACTCTCTCCCCTTCAAGGCAGCCTATCCTTTTATAGCATGGATGTTTTTAATGTTAGAGTCTTTCTTATAGTGAGCAGACATTTCCCCCTTTGTAACTTCTACCATTTAATTCCAGTCCTGCTCTCTGGAAAATGCAGAATAAGCCGTATTCCTCTTTTTTGTTTTTTTTAGGTGATAGCCCTCCCTTCAAAAATCAGAAATACTGATCCCTTCTCTGTTGATTGCTTCTTGCTTCTAGATTTCAGAAATCTTAACTAATTTCTTCAGTGTATTCCCTTTATGAAATAAGATTATCATTGCTTGGCAGCCAAGATTTTCATAAGATTGTCACTCCTTCAATACCATCTTTGTCTTCCTGGGTGGGAAGAGAGAAATGGCCTAATAATATGAGTTTTTGCCAATTGTAATAAGAATTAGTGCTGGTATTTCTTGAGCACTCAGTATAGGCCTAGACACTATTTTCAGTGTTTTACATGTATAAGTTCAGGTAATCCTCATGACAACCCTGTGAGGCAGGTGCTATGAATATTCCCATTTAACAGATGAGAAACTACATTTTCTTAAGCTACTATTTTCTGGGGTGTTTTTTTTTCCCCCCTCTTGAATTTAGGTCCTTTTTGTCTTTTCCTTATAAACAGAATTTTTTCTTATTTAAGATAAAGTCTGTGTTCCAGCTAACCTTAGCCACCTTGCTTATTTTGCTCGTGCTGCCACTTCTATTTTGAATCAAATGATATGTTTATTAGAAATGATCCCTTTAGACATTATTGTCATAATAGAGAAAGATAGGAGAATTGATTTTTTTTAGTAACAGTTAAAAAATTAAAGTGTATAGAAGGAAATTATGAGCTTTACATGTTTTTGAACTGATCTGCTATTTGAAATGATAAAGAATACCAAACCCACAAACTTCAAATTTCTTATTGTGTATATATATGTAAACTTTGCTATATTTGATCGATACAGTATCTCTGGTTATTCTTAGATTATCATTTCTAGGGCAACAATGGCAAGAACTTGTTTGCCCCCCGCCTTCACTCCCAAAAAACCCTCTAAGTTAAAAATATGTCATTTTTTTAAAGGAAAAAAGTAATAGCAGGACTCAAAGAATGATCTGAAACTTCTTATTCCCTAAATAATAACAATCTTGGCTTCTTTCTCTACAGGAGGCTCTCCCCAGAAGTAAAGACTTAAATTCAGAGGAATTGAGCAATCCTTGAGAAACCTTACTTTTTAAAAAAAATTTACTTCATAGAAAATCTCTTTACTGTTGAGTAAAAGAACAGAAGAAAGAAAAACTTCCCTTTGAATACATTCTAGAATTGTTGCTTAAACTTTAGGTTTCACACTATCACGTCCCTGCATGAGACATTTTGAAACAAACCATCAAAAGCCTCAATTTGTTCTAAAAGATTAATATCATCTTTAGAAGTTCAATAGGGGCCGGCCCGTGGCTCACTCGGGAGAGTGTGGTGCTGATAACACTAAGGCCACGGGTTTGGATCCCATATAGGGATGGCCAGTTAGCTCACTGGGTGAGCGTGGTGCTGACAACACCAAGTCAAGGGTTAAGATCCCCTTACCGGTCATCTTTTAAGGAAAAAAAAAAGAAGAAGTTCAATAAAGAAGTGACTTTTAGTTCTACATATAGCTTGTTCGTGAAAATAATCTTATAACAGA